TCAGCATCCCTTAAGAGTCTGATGCATGCCAATCGTCAATGCTTTACCAGCATCGTCTCCAACACCACCACCACCAACACCATGACTGCTATAGTGAGCAGTATCGTCGCTATATTCATCATCACTATCATCATTACCTGCGTTTTTTTCTTCCATTTTATGTTTTCTTCGCTTTCGAGCCACTCTCATTTCATTTGACCGCTCCAATATCTTTTTCATCGTGCTCTTCTGTACCGGTACCATTCGCATTGCTGTCAAGAGTATCATCACTCTAATCATTAATTTCGTTATCAAGTCATTATTCACTCGTTCCAAATGCAACCAGCGGCGTTTTCCGCATATATTTCCTCTTCTACTTCACGCACTACTGCTTATTACTACTTTAATTCATCTGTGCTTCATTATCCAACACATTCTCATTGCTACAGTCTTTATTTTAATTCGCTTTCCCCATACACATTCTAGACTTCGCCCACCATGCAGAAGATGGATCATATTAATTTTTTATGAAGAAAGACTGGATTTTGAAGAATCCCTTCGTGATACATTGTCACATGACCCTCCACTTCAAAGCGCAAGTCGGTAGGAAGGAAGTGGTGATGTCGTCTCAGCGAAAAAAGGAAGGAGGATTGTGCGAAGAAGCAGGGTCCTGCGACGCCGTCGGTGCCATTTCGACAGACATCGTCAGAGCAAGAATGCATTCTTTGCGTAAAAGAGGGAGAACATGCTGAAGCGAGAGAAGAAGCTGGCCGGCTGCAACCCTAATCGCATTTTTGATGCACCCAACTTGGTCATCTTAACGACACTTTGCATGATTCGGTTGGCTCGACATGCTTGCAAACGAGTCAAGTCATTTGCCCAACCGGAAGTGCTGATCGTCGTCGTGCAGACAACGAACTAACCACTTGGCAACTTGCAGTGTCTCTGAAAGGCACCAACTTCCAATTGGGTCGCGTAGTTGCTAGCCAAAAGAGTGGCTCAACAAGACTCCTTGGCCGAACCCCGTGTCTGCTAATACCACTTCACAGTCGAGGTGAAATGTGCATCACACATTGCCAAATTGACTAATCTCATGATTAAACATTTGCTTAACTTTTCACTTTTTATGCTTTCAGCATGTTGCTCTAGTCTAATCTCTAAGGCCTGTATCGCCGCGTTTATCGGAATAGTCGTCTCAATAGACACGCCAACGAAATGTACCAGTAAATCTCCTCTTTCATCTATCATCAGATCATCAATTAACTTTATAAAGTAGTAAGAGTTGCTTATCGAAAACTCGCAAGTTTCGGAGATTTGCTTCAACCGAGTGCATAAAGCGTCATGTTGCATGCATCAGGTCGCCTCGATTATTTGCAATAATGCATGTTGGGCACTGTTTGCACATTGTTGCAGGAGACCGTCATGTCTGACCTTGTGCTCCTCGGTTGGGTCCCCAATTATGGTCTTACAAGTGGCAGCATCATCGAATCATAATCAGTCTTAGCCATAACTACTATTGCTGCTCCTTTGTCCGCACTTGATACTAATTGCTCGTTCTCCTTCAGCTTCCTTATAACATCATTAACTGTCCCATTCTTGGATGATGTTTCTACACGACCTTCATTTAAAGGGACAACTTGCAATTAACTGTCACTCCCAACATCCTCTGGCAGAC